GTGTAGCACGGCCCCAGTCTCTGCCTGGTCCTGCTGGTGAAGGCGGGTAGCGCCGCCGACGCGGTCATCCCAGTGTGATCTGACCCTCAGGGATCGGCATTTCCTCGGGAGGCGGTGGCTTGTGCCACGTTAGTCCCAAGGGGCCTTTTGCCCACCCAGGGCTGGGAAGCTTGTGCTCATCAGTATACCGTGCCAGCTGTTCCGACTGGGATGCCCTTGGCTCCCAACGCACCATGTCGGAACCGCTGGGCCGCGAGTCTCCACAGGCGACGTGGTGACCACCTATGCCCTTCCTGTTGCTGTTCTCCGGGCGGTAGTTCGATGGCTGCGCGCGTGCAATGCACGGGCGGCCTTCGGGAGACCGACCCAGATCGCCGAACTCCTTTTCCTCTCCTCTTCCTCCTCCTCCTCATCATCATCATCCTCCACATTGCCTCCCCCTCCTCCTCGCCTCCTTGCCTCGTCCTCGCCTCCTCTTCTTCCTCCTCCTACTCCTCATTATCCTTCTCCTCCTCCTCGCCTGCTCCACTTCGCCTCCTCGCCTCCTTCTCTTCCTTTTCCTCCTCATCCTCCCCCTCTTCCTCCTCCTTCTCCTCTCCTTTTCCTCCTCCTCCTCCTCCTCCACCTCCACTTCGCCTCCTCGCCTCCTCCTCATCCTCGCCTCCTCCTTCTCGCCTCCTCGCCTCCTCCTTCTCGCCTCCTCGCTTCCGCCTCGTCGCCCTCCTCCTCGTCTCTCCCCGCTCGCCCCCTCGGGCGCCTGCCGCGCCCGCAGAACAAAGTCCCTGACCGACCGCGGCCAAATCGACCAGGACTTCTGACACTATGATGCACCCGCCGAGCGGGCGCGGCCGCGGCGCCCCGCGGCCGGCTGGGCGGGGGGGGGGGGCGGGGGGGGAGGGCGGGGGGTCCGGTCCTGGTCCTGGTCCTCCTCCTCCTCCTCTTCCTCCTCTTCCTCCTCCTCCTCCTCCTCCTCTTCCTCCTCTTCCTCCTCCTCCTCCTACTCCTCCTCCTCTTCCTTGTCCTCCTCCCTTTTCCCCCTCCTCCTCCTCCTCTCCTCCTTCCTCCTCCTCTCCTCCTCGTCCTCCTCCTCCTTTTCCTCCTCTCATCCTCGCGCTTGTTTCAATCCTCCTCCTCCTCCTCCTCCTCCTCCTCCTCCTCCTCCTCCTCCTCCTGCTTGTCGCCTCCTCCGCCTCTTCCTCTTCCTTCTTTCCCTCCTCATCCTCCTCCTCCTCCTCCTCCTCCTCCTCCTCCTCCTTTTCCTCGCTCGTCGTCGCTGCTCTTTCCTCCTCCTCCTCCTCCTCCTTTTCCTACTCCTCCTTGCTCCTCCTCGCTCATCGCTTCTCGCTCCTCCTCCTGCGCAGCGCGGGGAAGAGGAACGCTCGGCCAGGAGGGGGCGGCCATTCTCCTGTAGGCTGCGGGCGCGGCCCTCGGCAGGAGGTCTGGTGCGCGGCGGGGCGCTCTTCGCCCAGAATGTCCTTCACTGCGCGCGTATATTCGCCATGGAGGAAGCGGTTCCTGAGGGAGTCGGATTCTGAGGTTTTTCTCCGTTTTCGGTCTCTCGGGGCCCTCCATGGGTCCCCAGGACTGTCAGAAAACCGTCCAGGATGAACAACTAGTTTTTGGGGAAAGCCCCAGGGTTCAGGACCCGTTTCCCTCAGGACCCGCTCTCCCATGCTCAGCGGATTGGGGAGTTTCGTCAGTGGGGATGTGCCTCCTCCTCTTCCTCCTCTTCCTCCTCCTCGGCCCTGGGGATGTCAGGAAACGACCCAGGATGAAGATCTGGTCCTGGGGGAAAGTCCAGCCTCCCCTGTCAATCCTTATCCCCTTTCGATGGGCCGCCGCGCTCGAATAGCCCCGACATGGGCGTCCAAGGGGCCTGCATACTCATCGCGCATGCTTGCTCTCGGTTTTGACGGTGATGTCCGCGCCCCCTCTGCAGAAGTCGGCGTGTGCCTCGGAAGCCGACGGGGGCGAGAGAGGAGGTGCGGCCCCGCCAGCGGATGGACGGAGGCAGCTTGTCAGGGTAGAAGAGGCCCGGCGGAAGCGAAGCCATGCCCGACGGGAAGGAGGGATGTGTGCGCGCCAGCAGCGCCCCCTGGGACCCCCGAGTCGGCCGTGCACCATTCGCACGTCGGCGAGGCTTCCTCCAACGAGTGCCCGCGCGGCGCGCTCGCTCCTCGTCGGCCCCGGAGCAGTGCACAGGCCTCTGGCCCTTCGAGCTTCGTCGCCGCCATCCGGTCCCAGGCTGGAGCCCGTGCCCCTGCGTCGGCTCTGCACCCCTCCTTCCCGCCCCCACTCCTTCCTTCCTTCCTTCCTTCCTTCCTTCCTTCCTTCCTTCCTTCCTTCCTTCCTTCCTTCCTTCCTTCCTTCCTTCCTCCTTCCTTGTTTCCTTCCTGCACTCTTCCTCCTTGCTTTACGATGTTCCAACCTACTTTAGCCTTGATCACCACAAAGAATCTCGAGCACCAGAGAAGTACCCAAACTCGAGGGTTTTCACGTGTCGGGCCCTGGGAGACACTCGTCCGACACTGCTTCGACACGCCTTCGACGCTCCTTCGACACTTTCCTGGGTGCTCGAAATTATTTCTGGGATGTGGTCCTTAAGGACGATGTGAGCACCATAATCCTTGCTCCTTCCTTCCCCCCGCTCTCCGTGCCACAGAGTGAGAGCCCGTTCCGCCCGGTGGCCGCGGCTCTTCTGGGGGCGCGGGCGGCCTCCAGGGGATTCTTCCTCGCGAGGCCCAGGCGGCCCCGGGGGCTCCAAATGGAGCGCGACGGGACGGGGCGGTGGGGGGGGGGCCATGCGGGCCAGGATCAGTTCAACTCGGAAACTGGAGCATGTACATTACCACCGGCGGGTTCTGTTTCAGTTCCACGGCCTTTGGAGGGTCGGGGGCGACGTCGGGGTGGTGTGGTGTATAGTTCTCCCCCGTTTTCCATGGGAAACAGCGACAAATGTATACACCAGGATCCCGTATACACCAGGATCTGCGTTCGTGTGCGAATTCCAGCGCAGGGTCGGAAAAGACGCCGGTGTATAGAGCTCGTTTCCTTATCAATGCGGGCCAGGATCACTTCTGGCAATCTCCGACAGCTGGTCGCCGCCGCTACCCGAGCCCCAGGCCCCGGCGCCCATTTGATCCCGTCACCGCCGCAGGCTCCGTCAAGAGTTCGTAGCCGCCGTTGGCCTGCTTGGCCTTATTGCTGTGAGATTGACCGCCGGGAACTGTCAAGCAAAGGCTGCTCGGACTCCAAGCACTGGAGCCATCTGGCAGATCAAACCGTCAAACCATCCCCGCACCGACACTCTGGGCCCAGCTCTCGCATGCTCTCGCAACCGGTTCTTGCTGGGTCCAGGCAGGCGGCGGACGGAATCGCACCGACTGTCCATAGGCTCTTCTGGGTATCCGACGCCCCCGTGTGAAAGCGCTTCGATCCCTCCTTTACCCTCGTTTTTTGTGTGTTTTTATTTGTTGGAGGAGGAGGAGGAGGAGGAGAAGCAGGAGGAGGAGGAGGAGGAGGAGGAGGAGGAGGAGGAGGAGGAGGAGGAGGAGGAGGAGGAGGAGGAGGAGTGGAGGAGGAGAGGAGGAGGAGGAGGAGGAGGAGGAGGAGGAGGAGGAGGAGGAGGAGGCGGAGGAGGTCACACGCCCACCTGGTCTCAGAGAGGTGCCCCAGTCGCACGCGTCCGCAGCGGTGGTCAAAATAAAAGGCTTTTTGGCAGCGGCTCCAGGGCCAGGCGCTCCGAGGCGTGTCGCAGCGCCATGCCAGGGCTCGTTTCGATTCCTCCGATTCGATTCGATTCGATTTCGATGGCTTCCGATTCCGATTCGATTCGACTTGAGATTCCGACTTGGGCTCCGATTCTTTATTGGAGGCCTGCTAGCCTGCCGATGTCTGCCGATTCGACTTTTCCCGACTCGGCTGTCGATTTCCGCCGATCCGATTCATTTCGATCGCCGATCCGACTTATCGATTCGATTTTGGGTTCTCCTGCCATGCTCTGCGCCCGTGCGAGTCCAGAGGGCGAGAGGTTGATCGCGGATGATTGTGCGTGCTTCGGTCTGCCGGGGTATCGTTTCCCGCTATTGTCGTCGATCGTTCACCGAGTTGTACGCTGGCGCATGCCCCGTGTATCTTGCAGGGGATGACGAGAGATGTGAGGAGTATTTGGAGTGACGGAGGAGGGAATGGCAGAGAAGGGCAATTGGGGGGAAGGACGAGGGAAGCAGATCACAACGTTGATCAGGCCTTCTTCATGTTGCGACGGCGAAGAAGCTGACATGTGATTCTCAAGATAAGCAGGGAGCCAAGTTCCAGGAACATAATGGAAGCGTTCCAGCTGTGGCTTGCAATTATCATTGAAGGAGGGCATGGGCACGCGAGTAGGAAGGCGGATGGTCATGCAGGTAACCAGACCGTAATCTTGAAATTTAGCCAGTTAGCCCTATTGCTGATGCTCCGTGCTTTCCGCTTCCTTCAACTTCTCCACCTCTTCCTCCGACTCCTCTTCTCCAGTCTCCCCCATCCTTCCCCATTCGTGCCCCTCCAATACGTCTCAGAGTTGCCCTGGAGCCACATGTTTCCCTTGTATCTCTCAGTTACACCAGCCCCCACATTCAAACTGTCATGTACAATATGGTTCCCACTACCTTCAACATCCCAATTCAAATCATCGTTCCCGTCATCCTTTTTATTCGCAGTAGTATGTGTAGCATTGAGCTGCCACAGTCTATACTATGTTTGCCATTCGGGTGTGCCGTCCTCTGTTTTCCCTGCAGACTGAGCAGGCGAGAGACAGCGTGTTTCGCGCAGTGCGGCTGCCTCACCGAGCAGGGAGGGCTGCAGGAATGTAGCTTCTTCCGGAAAGGAAGGCCGTTTCCCGTGCCCGTTTCTGGCACGGTGGGCTTTCCCGCAGGACACGTCGCAGAACAGGCGGGCATCAAGTGAAACACCGTTCCGACGCACGTGTTCGTTGTGAATAAGTTCCCAGGGAGCGTTTCCTCCACTCCTCTTGGTGTCTCCAGAGCAAGCCCAGATAGGGGTCTGTGGAAGTTTGGCTCAAGGAACAAAGCTCAAGTTGACTGGGGTCTCTGGGCATCAATTTGCTTCGAGCGGGTGTAGCTCGGTAGCACCTTCATGGTAACAGCCATGATGCAAGCCATTGCGGCAGCGGGGAAAGCCGAGAAGAGAAAGACGAAACAACATGGAAAAACCACAGTGCAGCTTCCAGTGGCGAAGCCTTATATCTTCGAAGCTGGCGACAAAGTGCTGTATTGGAGTGAGTCTAAGTCCAGATGGGTCAACGCAGAGGTTTTGCGCTGCAACTCGAAAGACGGCGCTTTCACGTACGACCTCAACCTCAAATCCAAAGTCTTGCAAGAGAAGGTGCGGCCAGCGCCAGGGAAGGGCGAGACGTTCGACCCGAGCGCGCTTCCCCCGCCCCAGCTGTCCACCTCCGCGTTCGCGAACTTCAACGCGTTCGGCGCCAGACACTGCAAGAAGCGCGGGAGGGACTCCGACAGCGAGGAGCAGCAGAGGAGGGCGCGGGTTGCGGACGAGGCCGCGGCGGGGCCCAGGATCGATTGGAGCAGCCCCCCCCCTCAGCTCCTCGCCCGGGAGTCCTTTGGCGAGGCTTCCGCCTTCATCGACCATTTCGTCCGATATTTCCTCGGTGCGTGGGAAGAGCACGATCGCACCAGCAGCCAGGTTTTCTCGGAGCGAGACCTCGCGGCGTTCGGGGGTGGTGCTCTGGTGGAGGCCCGCCACGCCATCGCGCCACTGCTCTCGCAGCTGGCGCGCGGCGAGAAATTGGAGCGTGGCGAGACCAGGGGCGCGACGATCAAGGTGTCCGCAAAGCGTGGCACTTCCGATGGCTCGCATGTAGATGAGGCCGGCGTCCTCGAGCAGCTGGACAGAATGGCCTCTTGTGCTGCTTTTCGAGACTACGCGGAGGCACATCGGGCCTACATGAAGTTGACGCTGGGTCATAAGGCGTGGAACAACACGTGCGTCACATTCGTGTCTGCGAATACCAGTTCTGGCGCCAGGGAGTACAGGAGGAACCGAGACAGCCTGAACACCTACGACGTGGACCCTGTGGCCCAGAAGTATATGCAGGCAATGCGGAAGATTGTGCACTTCGCACAGAGCATCAGGCCGAACGACGACCAGTCCAAGAACGTCATCATCTGAGTGGCGTCTGCAAGAAAATGGCCTGATCGGGATATTTTGCTGCGGTCTGGCGCAAGAAACAAAACGGGTCGTTTGTAATGCCTGATGTTTCCCTACGAAGCGAAAGCAATAGAGTTCCCATTTGTGCTGTAATAGCTGGATTTTGCATCCCAGGATGCCAGGAGAGTGCCGCCATCGTGCCGTGACGTGCCGCTTCCGGGCGCTATGCCGAGCCTGCGCTTTCGAATGCACACCATGTGCGGCCCGCGTGCCGTGCCGTGCCGTGCCGTGCCGTGCCAGCGTGCCGTGCCGTGCCTGGCCCGTGCTTGGTTTCCACGAGACATCAGCGATGTGTTGCCCGCGTGCCGTGTCGTAGCGTCCCGTGCCGTGCGCCCGCGCCCCCGAATGCACAAAAAGGTGCCGCCCGCGTGCCGTGCCGGTGCCCTGCCTTGCCCGCATTCCGTGCCTGTGCCCGTGCTCACGCCGTGCCCGTGCGGCGTGCAGTGCTCGCGTGCTAGCGAGAGAGCGAGAGAGGTGCCGCCCGCGCGGCACGTGCCGTGCCCCCTCCTGTGCCCGTGCCGTGCGCATGCCGTGGTCGTGCCGTGCCCGCGTGCTGTGCCGAGCCCGCGTGTCGTGCCATACGCGCGCACGTCGATGCTGATTCACCGTGTGGGGCGTTCCAGAAGGGGCCTCGCCTTCGAGGATGGGGGGAGTTGGCATCGCTTCCTCGGCGGAAGGGAAGGCCGGCGGCAGTAAAACGAGGCCGCCTCCGCTGGTGGAAGCCAGCGGAAGGGCGGCGGAAGGTGGCGGGAGTAAAAAATGGGGTCCCCAACAGATGAGCATGTTTTTGGGTTCAGGGTTTCCGGAACCCGACACGTGTCTTCTCATGCAGCGTTGATGATCAGGGCCGCTGTGTCGGTGCAGCGTTACTCCAGAAGCGTATTGCGAGTTGGCTTGGGACTTTATTGCAGTTGCAACGACAAATCGACGACAGGGCCCCAAAACAACATCGGTGGGGGAGTGCATGTGAGCCGTTTGGGATGCCCCCCTTCCCCACCCTGCGCACTTACTACACAGCCAAGATGGAAACCAGTGACCGCCTTTTTCCTAAACGTGGTTCGTGAGACAGCACCATCCGATGTTCGGAACGCGGTGGCTAGAGAGGCAAGGACACCGTTCTGAGTTGGGGGAGTATCTGGCGAGAAGATAGCAAAATTAGATATGAGCAGAGAGTATGACCAGGAATGCAGTGGGAGCATGCTGAGTCATTCAGGAGCTTTGCCTGCGAAGGGGGACGACCAGCAATCAGAATTGAGGCATGGGTGGCGCTGCGGAAAAAAACAGTTTTCTCGTTTGATGGTGTGGCAGGCGATTTGGTGCATCATTGAAGTATGAAGCGTCTGTTTTGCAGTATTTCGCGTCGGTCGTTGAAAGTAGGTATTGCTGGCCGGTGCAGCCGACCCTGGAGGCCTCGGCCATCGACGGAAATGTGAGGGAGAGGGCGGGCCATGGGCCCCGGGAGGGTGGTATTCCGACCCGGGGCCCCCCCTGGGACCCCCTTTGGGACCGCCCCCCTTCGAGTAAGCTACGACGTTGCTCAGATTGGCTTCCCCCCCGTGTCGCGGCCGCTCCCCTCCGCGTCGCGGCCGCTCCCCTCCCCCGAAGGGAGCCGCCCGGGTGCCCCCCCCCGCCCACCGCGTATCCGGGTGCGAACCCCCCCTCCACCCCCTCCCCCTCGGGGGGAAGGGATACAAGGGAAGGGGCTTGCCTTCGAGTAAGCTACGACGTTGCTCAGATTGGTTTCCCCCCCGTGTCCGGGGGGGAGCAGATTGGCTTCCCCCCGGGCTTCCCCCCCGTGTCGCGACCGCTCCCCTCCGCGTCGCGGCCGCTCCCCTCCCCCGAAGGGAGCCACCCAGAAGCCCCCCCCGCCCACCGCGTATCCGGGAGCGAACCCCCCCTCCACCCCCCCCCCTCGGGGGGAAGGGATACAAGGGAAGGGGTTCCCCTTCGAGTAAGCTACGACGTTGCTCAGATTGGCTTCCCCTCTGCGTCCGGGGGGGAGCAGATTGGCTTCCCCCGGGGCGCGGCCGCTCCACTCGCCCAAGGAGAGTCGACCACTCCCCCTCTTGGAGCCGACGTGGCGGTGTCGTGGGCAGCTCCCCTCCCCCGAGGGGAGCCGACCACCCCTCTTGGAGCCGACGTGACGATCTCGTGGGCGACGACGACCCACGCAAGATGACGAGACCAAGATACGTCTTCCACACGCCGACGGGGTCGGTGGATTTCTGGATTACCAGCTCCCAATATACTTCTAGTGCCTTCCTACATCAAGTATCGATGTGCTTCTGCTGCGTTCCGTTACTATCTGGGAGGGCCTGAACCCAATCTATTTTACCCGCCGTCCTACTTCATATTTTCACCTACTTTTCCAGAAATACGTGTGCTACATTCGAGTTGCAAGTCGACGGGCATTGAACTTACCATTACACGGCATAGTTAACCAGGCACGCTTCTGAATGACGACCGCCAGTGCGCCCTTCCAGAGCAGCGCCGCCGGGCCGCTGCGCCAGGTTGCCAACCTCGTGTGGCCAGTGGGCCGCAGGTGAGCGACCACGTGAGTTGTTGTTTTGTCCATGCGCTCCTGCTTGAGCCGATGACTTGATTTCGACACACGTGCGTGTCAGTCGGGACATAGAGGAGTGCATGATGCTGGCGAACCTGTGGTGTTTGAAGCTGACCATGCATCCATCCATAATGCACTAGCTTTGGAAAGTTCAGGTCCCCCCCTCCTGGGTGTGCGAGGAGGGGTGTGTGTGTGTGTATGTGTGGAGGAGAAGGAGGAGGAGGAGGAGGAGGAGGAGGAGGAGGAGGAGGAGGAGGAGGAGGACAACGACTAGGACGACGAGGAGGGGTAGGAGAAGGTGAAGGAGAACGACGACGAGGCGAGGAGGGGGAAGACAGGCAGGATGGCACTCTGCCCCTCGCTTCTCCCTACCCCTCTGGGCAGAGGAAGTCGCGCTCGCCGCCCTCCTCCGCGCGCGGTGGCCGCGACTCGGCCGAAGGGGAGCTCGCCCGGGTGCGGCGGCGATCGGGCAATCTGGCGCGGACCGCAGACGCGGCTTACCACAGGCCCTCCCAAGCGGGAAATGGGGCAAGGGGACGCGGGAGGAGGTCGACGAAGAAACATCATATTGTGGAGGCCTTGCGGCTAGCCCTCAGGATCCTGCAGGATCTTGCAAAGACCTTGCGAAGCCCGACTGGCCCGGGTGTGCATTGGCCTGGGTCAGTAGAAGCCCGACCTCTGGTCGGGGCCTGGAGCTGGAACTGGAGCCCGAGCTTGTCGCAGGCTCGGCTCGCCCAGGCGCAGCACGTGGAGCTCCCGCAGCCTCCTCCTGTTCTTCTTCCTCATCCTCCTTCTCTTGCTGCTCCTCTTGTTCCTCCTCCTTCTCCGTCTCCTCCCCGCTCTTCCTCTTCCTCCTCCTCTTCCTCCTCCTCCCCCTCCTGGTAGCTACGTTGTTGCATATCTGTCGAGGAGGCACAGGTAGCTCTGTAATCGATGTTTTGGGCCTGAATGATCCGTGCATGCGCGCGTACAAGAAGATCCAGTTGGACCTCCGCTGGACTAAGCGGCCCCATCGCCCAGTGCAGCTGTGTATCGCCAGTCAGGGTTTTTAAAGTCCAGCATCTGGTGTACACGGTAGCGCCGGCACTGCCTCTCAAGGGCTCCATTGGACCCCAGCTTTCTCCTCCTGCTTGGGATCTCGTGAGGGGCCTGGTTGAGCGGTGTGGTGAGTCGGCGCATGATTAGAAGACTGACCCAGGGGTGGAGCACCAGTTGTTGTCTTTTAGTTGGGGCAAGTTTGCTCAGCTGGCTGCTCGTTACGTCGGGGCTTGCACTGGGGTTGCGAATGGTAACTTTGGCGGGATTTGGCGCCAAGTTGCTCCGCGCTGGGTCAACGTCGAATACCCCGATGTAACCGAGAAGTGTTTAATTGCTGAAGGCTGGCAGAGGCTGCGCAATGGCATGTCTCATCTCATCCATCTTTCGGAATTGGATAGCATGTCTGACGCCTGTCAGGGCGCAATGCTTGCTGAGCTTGTAGTTTTCCGTGACAGCGAGTATCCAGGTCTTGGGCTGAGCGCGAGGCTTGATAATTCGGTGGGTCAGGCTCGGATGCTCATTTGTAATGACTTCACACTTGAGCAGGTCAGCGATTTTCTCGAAGACATCTCGGTAGACGTTGACGTGGCTGTAAAAGGCGAGCCAAAGGAAGTCCAATCTAGTTGGAGCGACTGGTTTAAGACTGCCAGCAGGGGAGGAGCCAGGGGCCTTCACAGGGTCACGAAGGTTCGGAGCTTTGTGTCTCCCACGGTTGTCCAAGACCCTCGAGGCCCCAGTGCTGACCCCCATAGTGTTGCGCAGCACGAGCTGCAGGTCTATCGGAAGCTCTGGCGAGCGACGTCCACTCCGCCGACTGCCTGGATCCTTGATCGTGCTAGTTTTCCCCCGGCTTCTCCCGGCGAGGTTCGCCGAGTGATGCGGAGTTTCTCGGAGACTACGGCCAGGTCCCTGGACCAGTTCCATCCCAGGCACTTTCTGCTGCTTGATAACGACGGTCTAGAGGTGTTAGCCGGTTTATGGCAGTGTTGTGAGGCGATCGGCCTCTTGCCCCAGCAGCTGCTGTGGGTGCTCATTCCAATGCTGCCCAAGCCTGTCAGTGGCCATAGGTTGATAGTGCTCTATAGCGTTATGTATCGCATATGGCAGCGGTTGCGGCGACCGATGCTAACTTCTCTTATGGCGGAGGTGGAGCGCGGGCACTGGGGGGCGAGTCGGGGGAGGAGTTCGGTGGATTGCGCTTGGGCGCAAGCGGCGAGAGCCGAGGCAGACGTGGCCTCGAGTCGCTTCAGCGTGCTCATCATATCCGATTGTTGCGAAGTATTCTGAAACGATCCCTCTGGTCTTGCTGCGAGATAAGTTTCTCGCGCTCAAGGTTCTCACTGCATTCATGGAACTAGTTTTTAATGTGTGGCGCGCTCCTCGAGTGTTGCAATTGCGTCAGCATCACTCTGAAGGGGTTGCTC